TATTTTTCAGGGTCTCCTCAAGGCGTGGGTTTTTTAAAGAATATTTTTCAGGGTCTCCTCAAGGCGTGGGTTTTTTAAAGAATATTTTTCAGGGTCTCCTCAAGGCGTGGGTTTTTTAAAGAATATTTTTTCAAAGGTTTATCAAGGCGTGGATTTTTAAAACAATATTTTTTCAAAGGTTTATCAAGGCGTGGATTTTTAAAACAATATTTTTTCAAAGGTTTATCAAGGCGTGGATTTTTAAAACAATATTTTTTCAAAGGTTTATCAAGGCGTGGATTTTTAAAACAATATTTTTTCAAAGGTTTATCAAGGCGTGGATTTTTAAAACAATATTTTTTCAAAGGTTTATCAAGGCGTGGATTTTTAAAACAATATTTTTTCAAAGGTTTATCAAGGCGTGGATTTTTAAAACAATATTTTTTCAAAGGTTTATCAAGGCGTGGATTTTTAAAACAATATTTTTTCAAAGGTTTATCAAGGCGTGGATTTTTAAAACAATATTTTTTCAAAGGTTTATCAAGGCGTGGATTTTTAAAACAATATTTTTTCAAAGGTTTATCAAGGCGTGGATTTTTAAAACAATATTTTTTCAAAGGTTTATCAAGGCGTGGATTTTTAAAACAATATTTTTTCAAAGGTTTATCAAGGCGTGGATTTTTAAAACAATATTTTTTCAAAGGTTTATCAAGGCGTGGATTTTTAAAACAATATTTTTTCAAAGGTTTATCAAGCCGTGGATTTTTAAAACAATATTTTTTCAAAGGTTTATCAAGGCGTGGATTTTTAAAACAATATTTTTTCAAAGGTTTATCAAGGCGTGGATTTTTAAAACAATATTTTTTCAAAGGTTTATCAAGGCGTGGATTTTTAAAACAATATTTTTTCAAAGGTTTATCAAGGCGTGGATTTTTAAAACAATATTTTTTCAAAGGTTTATCAAGGCGTGGATTTTTAAATAAATCTGAACCGATTTTCAGGAAACTTAGCACATATCATTCGAGGCCTAATTCATTACGCTGTGCCAAATTTCGTGCAAATCGAAAGATATATAGGGAATTTGGTACACCATTTACCTTAAATCGGACGAAAATATATATGGGAGCTATATCTAAATCTGAACCGATTTTCAGGAAACAAAACACACATGATTCTAGACCTAATTCATTACGCTGTGCCAAATTTGGTGTAAATCGAAAGATATATAGGGACTTTGGTGCAACATTTACCTTAAATCGGACGAAAATATATATGGGAGATATATCTTAATCTGAACCGATCTTTCCCAATTTCAATAGGGTTCATCCTGGGGCCAAATAAGTGCCCTATGTCAAATTTCATCCAAATCGGATCATAAATGCGACCTGTACTTTGTTCACAAAAATACATGGACGGACGGACAGACGGACATGCGTAAATCGACTCAGAAAGTGATTCTATGCATATTCTCAAAAGGAACCCTGTATCTATCTCGTTTCCTTTTGCCTGTTTCAAACATATGCACAAAGACATAATACCCTGTACCACAGTGTGGTGAAGGGTATAATTATTTAATATTCTATTCCGCACAGCTCGCCATCTAAGGCAATGTGAATAAATATCCCTCCTTTTAAGGAGGGAAATATCCACTTAGGACATTTTTGATACTCTAACAAAAATAAGTATAAATTACTACAACTCAAGTGTGTACTTTCATTAATGTCATTCATCATTTTTGCATTTTTGTTTTTCGTACATTCGGCGTTTGTTATCATCCAACCAACAACAACAACACCACCTACACCCCTCTCACATAACTGAGTTTTATCTTCAACAAATTTTGGGTGTGCGCTACGAACTGTTTTAGCAAGCAGCAACGCCAAGGACATTTCTTTTTTTCGTTTGATATCATTTCGTTTTTTGTTATTATTTTAATTTTTGTTTATGTGAAGGAGTGTACGTATATATGTGTGTCTGCATGTATAAGTGCAAAAGGAATTGACCCAGACCAAAGGATTATGGTGAGGTTACATATAACTTTTGTATAATTGTTTTTTTAGAAACAATAAAAAAATCGCATGACCTCAAACTTTAAATTAAAATATTTGAATGAGTTTTGTTCTTTATTTTCGGAAGTGACATACTAAATAAAAACCGAGAGGGATAATGGGAATAAATACCAATTATGTATGAAGAAAAAACGACAAGAGATTTTATCAGTTAAAAATGTGCATAAATAAATTAAAACGGATTGAAAGTGTCATTTACGAAGTGGTTTTAATCATTGGAATAATCACAAGGATTGAAATTGAAATAAAAAAAACTAAAAATATTTAAAAATAATGATAAACGTGTATGAAGAAATTTAATAAACTGACCAACTTGTATGACAGTATTTATAACACTCCTGCGGGCCACATACGTATACGTTGGGCCACCAGAAACCCCACTTCCAAACTGACTGTGGGCAGTTCCGCTTAAAGTTTCACTAACATTTAAATAAGAAAATGCTATTTAACCGTGATTAGCATTATTTCCTACCATTTTTGGAAAATATACCCAAGGCAATAAACTATCTATGATTATCCGGAGTACTAAATTATCATCCAACATCCAAATACCAAAAATTGGACGGAACCTTTATTTGGGTCCTATGTCAAAATATGTACCTACATTAAAACATTTTTGAAAACTTGGTTTCTGGATTGCCAAATTACAGGACACATGTAAAGAAAATGCTTCTAGGACCATATAAATACCGAAAATGAGCTCTATTTTTATATGGGACCATACACATCAGCATATGATAAAGGGTATAAAAATAGATAAAAATGCGTCTCTCACAAATATTTTTAGGATTTAAGCTCTCTGCGTTTACCCAATATGTGTTGGAGTCAATTCAGTACGCAATATAAGTACACATTTCAGAAAACTTGTCCCTACTTTAGTTCTACACGTCAAAATTAATGCCTACTTACTTTCTTAGCTGGCATGTGGCAGAACATTTGTTCCATCAGCCGAGCATAAAAAGATTTCCGGGCTCGTCGGTATTTGCAAAATTCTTCCAATTTGGAAGACCATGTTCGCCAATGTTGTCTTCCACTTGATCTTTCCACCTTATTCGTGGCCTTCCTCTCCTGCGAGAACCATCATTTGGCACGCTTTATATGCCTTTTGTGCTCGGGTGCGGTCCTCGTCCTCGGGGGTCCTCGTTCATTCTCACAACATTACCTGTCCAACGTTGTCGCTGCAGCTCGATATGTCTGACTATGTCGATGTCCGAGGTTAGATGACACAGCTAGTGGTTCATTTGACGGCCATATTCACCGTCGACGCTAGTCGGCCCATATATCATCTGCTTGTGTCATAGATGCTTGGCCCATAGATCATCTGCTTCTGATCCATACAACAGCAAGTGTAACGTCTTGTTGAGGATGAGTTTGGTCTGGCGAGAGTTGGTCTTGTTTCTGAATTGCTTACTCAGACCCTAGTAAAATCTGTTGGCCAACACTATTCTTCACTGGATTTTAAAGCTGATGTTAATAGTTTTGTTTATGGCGTCGAAGCTGTAGTTTTCAAGTTTCATAGGTGCTCCGAGTCTACTGGACGTCTTGCGCGTTGATACCATCAGCTTGGTCTTCTCGCCATTTACTGCCAGACCAACTTTGGCAGACTCCTTCCAAATTTGTTCCAAGGTCGCTGTTGCCGCTCGCAATGTTTGACCGATTATGTCGATATCGTTGGCTCCGGTTGATTCTTTCCGACTTTAACTGCTGTCTCTGTGCCAGTTAAAGTTATCCTGAATAGCCGTATTAATTTTGCGGGACTGCCGAACGCTGACATGACTTTAAACACCTCTGAACGCATAGGGCTATCGAATGCGGCTTATAGTCGAATGCGTCGATATATTTTTAGTGGGTCTTTTCCAGGATTTGGCGAAGTGTGAAAATCTGGTCTATAGTGGATTTGCCTGGTCTGAAGCCGCATTGATAAGATCCAATAATATCATTGACCATTGACTTCAGTCGTTCACTCAGCACGCTGGATAGCACTCCATATGCGATGCAAAGGTGACTAATTATGAAGCCGTTGGTACATATCGTACATATCCTGTTTTGTGCACGGAACACAGGATGCTGAGGTTCCAGTTGCTGCAGCGTCGCCACCTGCAGATTTATTATTCTTCAGCCAATTGATTGCTATTCTGACCTCATCTTGGCTAGGAGGTATACACTCTCTACCGTCATCTGGGGTATCTTCTTCACCGCCACTATTTCATACCAGAATCTTTCAAAATGCTCCTTCTAGATCCTCAACACGCTGTCTGTATCTGTCACAAGGTTTCCTTCTTCATCTCTACAGGAGGATGAGCGTGCACTAAAGCCTTCGGTTTGGTGTTTTACTCGTTTGCATAATATCCGGACTTCATTCTGATTCCTGTACATCTCGATTTGCTCATGCTCACGTTTTTTGTTCTTTCTTTTTTCCTTTCTTCCATTCTTTCTTTCTTCTGAAAATAAGTTTCTCCTCTCTCTTTCTCCCGATAATTCTATATCGCACTACGTGTTGCTCCTTTTTGCACGGTTGGCTCTAAACGCTCCATTTTTAACCTCGGTGGTATTACGACCATGGGCTTCTTGATATCCAATTGTTGCTTTTGCTGCAGTTTATAGGGAGTGAGCTATTCTTTGCCATTGTTCTTCTATATCAGGACAAGGAGTGCTTTCGCAGTTGAGTCAGTTCAGCTGTGTGGGCTTTTGCTACTTGTTGTGTTTGCAGGTTTTCGACGTCGAATATCCGTGTTACATTAGATCGCACCTTTGCTGCTACATTAAGACGAGTGCTACAAGGTTATGGTCCGAATCGATATTCACTCTGAAACACTGGATGAATGCCGAAACTAATCTTACATTTTATGAGATTTTTTACAATTTTTGGGTGTTTTACCAGATAGAGTTTTCTTATACAGTCGATATTTGCACAATTTATAGATCTCATATTTATAGGACTCACACAATACAGGATGAGATAAAAAAACTGCAATAAAGTCAAACGCCATAATTTGTACATTTTTTTTTAATTTTATTAAATAAATGCAAAAAAATGTCGAAAATAGCATCAAATTTTAGAATAAGTTTAGATTTTTTCGAATTGGTCACCTTTGGCACGAATTATGGCCTTCAAACGGCCAATGAAACCGTCACCAACTGCCCGAATGTTGTTCTGCGGTATTTTGGCCCATTACCGTCGAAGCGCTTGCTTGAAGTGATCGACACTTTGGTATTTTTTAGTGTCAAGTTTGCTTTCCCAAAATAATCCAGACACAATAGTCCAACGAATTGGTATCCGGAGATTTTGGTGGCCATTGTGCGCTGGAAATGGAACGAGGAACCTCATTTAGTAACCATTCTTGGGTGGCGCGTGTTGAGTCCTGTTGGAATGTCAAGGTGTGCGGCCAAAATGTTTGCGTGCCCAAGGCTTTAATACACCCTCCACAATATTTTCACTATAATATTCGGCATTTATTCTGATGCCACGGTCGATTAATACGAGCGGAGAGCGAAATTCGGTTGTTATGACAGCGCTTGAGTTCTGGTGGCCAACCGAAGGTGCACATTTTCAGCTGACTTCTTTGCCATATATACACGATCATTTTGTTTGTTTACAAACTGCTGTACAACAAATGTTTTCTCATCGGAGAAAACCAAATTCGACAGTTCACCACTTTCGCCCAAGCGAAGCAACATTTTAGCTCTTTGAGTCTATTTTCATACTGTTGCCGTGTAAGTTCTTGCACTTTTTGGAATTTCAATGGCTTTACCCTGAGCTTATTTTTCAATATTTGCCGAATGAAATATGTTCAGCTCACGAGCCATTTTTCGGCCAGGGCAACGCGGGTTTCGGTAAAGTCGTTTCTTTACTTTTCGAACCATTTCTGCGGATGTTATTGTTTTCTTCCTCCCACTTCCTTGACGTCGGGATACGCTACCAGTATCACGGTAACGAGCGATGGTACGAGACACAAAAGATTTATTCACATTTAAATGCTGGAGTGCTCTAACGATAGCCACTTGTAGTTTTCCTGCCAAATATAAAGAAATCACAATATCGCGCTTGAATTCCATCACGAATAACTTTTTTCAAAATGCTTGTAAACGATATACTGAGCTGTCACTGGAATAATTTTAACAGCTGTCGGACGAGTGGCAGTTTTTTCATCTCACCCTGTATATTCCTAACCACATTATAGTATTTATGGCATATCACCTTACCCTAAATAGTTGAACATTCAACATAATAATATCACCTAACAATTAGTTGGGTCACTTAGTTATCTTAACAAAATGAAATACGCAAAAAAAAAAAAAAAAAAAAAAAAAAAAATTAACATGCGGTTGACTTTAGCACGTACAACACCAGTACACACAAACAACATTCACGCCAACAACAACATTGTATGAATGTACGAATGACAGCTAAGATAATGACAACAATAAATGAACAACACAAAAAACACAGATATACACTTAGTTGTATAAATACATGTATGAATGTTGGTATGTAGATATTTACATATGTACATGAAGAATGGAGACAAACAAAGAATTTGATTGTAACACATCCGACAAACATTCATACACATACCAAAAATGTGTTGGTACATTATCCAAATATATATTTGTGGCTATGCGGATAATGCCGCTTCTGTTTGCCATGACTGGTATTCATTCATCAGGCATAACTATAATGTGGAAAATTTGAAAGGATACACAGTTAGATTGTTTGTGGTCTTTAAAACATAAGAGGTATGCTCAATAAAGGACTAACAAAGCTATAGACCTGGGTTTTAACAAATATTTTCTCAAGGACTATTGACATTGATTTTTAAAGATTTTTTATTAGAGCTCTATTAGAGTCCTAGGCGTGGATTTTTAAAGAATATTTTCTAAAGGACTATTAGAGCCTTAGGCGTGGATTTTTAAAGAATATTTTCTAAAGGACTATTAGAACCTTAGGCGTGGATTTTTAAAGAATATTTTCTAAAGGACTATTAGAACCTTAGGCGTGGATTTTTAAAGAATATTTTCTAAAGGACTATTAGAACCTTAGGCGTGGATTTTTAAAGAATATTTTCTAAAGGACTATTAGAGCCTTAGGCGTGGATTTTTAAATAATATTTTCTAAAGGACTATTAGAGCCTTAGGCGTGGATTTTTAAAGAATATTTTCTAAAGGACTATTAGAGCCTTAGGCGTGGATTTTTAAAGAATATTTTCTAATGGACCAGCCATCCAAGGCGTGGATTTTTAAAGAATATTTTCTAAAGGACCAGCCATTCAAGGCGTGGATTTTTTAAAGAATATTTTCTAAAGGACCAGCCATTCAAGGCGTGGATTTTTTAAAGAATATTTTCTAAAGGACCAGCCATTCAAGGCGTGGATTTTTTAAAGAATATTTTCTAAAGGACTATTAGAGCCTTAGGCGTGGATTTTTAAAGAATATTTTCTAAAGGACTATTCGAGCCTTAGGCGTGGATTTTTAAAGAATATTTTCTAAAGGACTGTAAGAGCCTTAGGCGTGGATTTTTAAAGAATATTTTCTAAAGGACTATTCGAGCCTTAGGCGTGGATTTTTAAAGAATATTTTCTAAAGGACTGTTAGAGCCTTAGGCGTGGATTTTTAAAGAATATTTTCTAAAGGACTATTAGAGCCTTAGGCGTGGATTTTTAAAGAATATTTTCTAAAGGACTATTAGAGTCTTAGGCGTGGATTTTTAAAGAATATTTTCTAAAGGACTATTAGAGTCTTAGGCGTGGATTTTTAAAGAATATTTTCTAAAGGACTATTAGAGCCTTAGGCGTGGATTTTTAAAGAATATTTTCTAAAGGACTATTAGAGTCTTAGGCGTGGATTTTTAAAGAATATTTTCTAAAGGACTATTAGAGCCTTAGGCGTGGATTTTTAAAGAATATTTTGGCAACTGTTCAAGACCATGGTGATTTTCAGAAGTCGATGTATACATCAAAGTAATTAAATATAGTAGCAGTGTAAAAATTCTCTAGCCCATCCATCAAACGTCTACATTTTAATATGTTTATCCATCTTGTAAATCTGACAAAATTTCAAAAAATATGTTTGCAAACATTTTGGAATTTGAAACCTGACATATTTCGCTGTGTATAACAAAGCACATTCACCCACACAAACTACGCAACACAAATCTCAACACAGCAAATACAAACAAAATAAACATAAAGCACAATTTCCCTTAACCTCGATTTATGACCATTCCCGTTGTTGTTGTTATCGTTTTATACATATTTTGTTTTTGTATTTTTGGCTTTAAAAGAAATTAAATCTGACTGAATAAATTCAACAACAGCAGCTGGTGCAGCACCAGAAAATTGTTTGGGGGTATAAATACACAAAAAAAGAAAACTTTCAAACATGACAGGAGGGGTCAAATACATGAATACTGGTTGAGGCTTGTCTGTCAGAAAACGAATACAAAAGGCTGTTGCTGGCGCAATAAACCCTAGTCACATCAGCTCACTGCCATTTTCAAAGGAGTCATGGGTGGTCGGTCTACTATAAACTCAAGAACATACACACCCATACACACACACACAAATAATGATGAATAGGAGAACACACAGAGTCAGTGACTGACTGTACGTTCTCGGTGTGATTAAAAAAATATAATATTTTCTGCTTCAATCATTTTTAAAAATTTCTACTACATACACAAACATTACATTTAAAACAACGCAACAACAAATTTTGCACAGCCATCACTTCGCTTTTATTTCTAATAAAAACTAAATTACAAACGTTATGACTCCGTAAATCTAGGTTCGTCATGCACACAAAAAAGAAATTAGAAAAATGAATCGAGTCACATTACGGGTATATCGTTTGGAAACATTACAGTTTTTTCGCAGGGGTTATAAAACTTATTTATTTAATTTTGAATTCATTGAATTGCGCATACATAGGAGCGTATGAATATTGGATTAATATTTCAATAATACCCATACGCCACCATGCAATCTCTTAAAAATTTTTATTCGAATTTTGGAATAATCTATCAGGTCAGTAAAACATTTTATATCCTACTAACTATATTGGGAAGGTAGTATATATTTCTAAGGTGTGAATTTTTAAGGAATATTTCAAATATGTAGATTTATTTGGACTATTTCTAAGCCATACATTTTTAAGGAATATTTCCAAGGCGTGGATTTTTAAGGAATATTTTTGAGGCGTGGTTTTTTAAGCCAAGAATTTCGAAGAGTGAATTTACAAAAAATGTTTTCAAAGGCGTAGCAGAATTCAGGTATTACTTATGTGTTAGCCTCCGATTTGCGTACATTTATTACTTCTACCAATCCGATTCTGCATCTAACTTCACAAACGAGACTCTCCAATTTCAGGAAAAAATCAGTGTCATGTCATAAATATGTGTTGAAGCGAGTAAATTAGGCTGTGCTGAAATCATTTTATTTTGTCGAGGCATCTTCCGCTATTCTGCTGATATAAAAAGGGGAGGGAATTCCTCTGGGAGTCTCTCTAATCTAAATTCATCAGCTTCATCATATGTATTTTGATTTGAACTTCTAACACCATCCACAAATTATGGTTAGATTTGTTAGAGCATATTGGTGATCTGATTGAAGTCATAAGGAGGAATGATGTCATCGTTCTGTCAGCAGTGAAAATGTTTTCATTGGTTAAACATTTTCCCAATCCTTGACACTAAAAACATAAAATAAAATTTTACATTATGAAGGCATTTCCTATCCGTCAGATCGTTGTACATTATAACGTTTAGTCGAAATTTTTTAGTGGTCGAAGATCAACCTTTTTCTTCATGAACATCGCGTAATAACTCAAAATCTTGACCTATGGCGAGTTTTTCTTTCAGGTTCTTACTCTCGCCAAGGGCTGTCATCCCCACAGATCAGGAGCTGCATTTTTTGTCGCATTTTAAACGCATTTTAATGACATCAATAACTCGAGAGATTATTCTATTGGTCTTGGACTTTTAATTTATCGATTCAGTGTTTGGCTACAGTCTATACATACGGTTATTCCAATGCATTCCATGTCCTCGAACAGTTTTATAAAATCGAACGACTCCTCCATTTCCTGAAGTTACTTCATTAAAATAATAATGACTTAGTAAGGCTGAACAACATAGAGGAATTTGACCCTCTGATGACACTTGCAACATCCTTTAACGTAAATTGTGTGGTGATTACTAGGCCTTGAGAAACCCTTTACTTTAAACTGTCTGTCTCGTATGCTCTATTTTTATAGATTTAAAGAACTCACAAATCACTACCCCTTATAGGATATGTTTCTGCAATGCCTCTAAATCAGACAAAAGATTGAAAATCAATTTTAGAATGATTAGAGAGTGATTCAATTGTGCCCCCAATTTGCTCAAGTTGGTCCCGGCTATAACTTCCACTATTGTTGTACAGTTAAAGATCTCACATCTCCGACCACTTTATGGCCGATGGAATTTTCGATTCTTCGTCATTGAACATTGTGCTGACAGATAGACGCACGAGCAGGCAAACATTTGGTCACTTGGATTCAAAAATCAATATTTTTGATCGTATAAGCTCTACCTAGACTGCGCATATATCAAGGGGTTCTCATTGGGGATCAAATTTTCCACTCAAAAAATATCAATTTGGTCCATTTTGGGGTCCTTCCTAATTTTGGGAGGGGTTTCAATCAAAATCGATGCAATTACATGTTTTGTGTAGCAGATATTCTGAGTTTTCAGTGGGTAACAAATATTCCTATCAAGGAGACCCACAATACTCGGTGTCAAAAAAATTTAATTTTGTGATTTAATTCAAGAATGTAGGGACATTTCAAGTGAAAATCTCAAGAACTCTTGAAGATATAGCCGATTTATTGTGTCAGCATCAAGTGACGGCAAGAGTGATTCTTAAACTTTAAACGCATTTTTCTCGAAGTAGTGTTTTTACGAATGGGGTCACGATAACTCAAAAACAAATAATCCAATAGGTTCCAAATTTTTACACGTTTCTCTGGAAGTGTATAGCTATCGCACGAACTAGGATAAAGCCAATCGATGAAGAATTTCCTTTTTTAAGGTAGGCGAATTAAAAAAAAATAAATAAATTAAGAAATAAAATAACAATAAGGTCCGCCGTCCGTCAGCGAGGACATAGTTCATACGAGAACCAGACA